AGGAAGATACCTGCTAATTAGCTAGTAAAAAACAAAACCCTAAACACAATAAAACCTCACTAGCAATAAAAGTTTGTTGTGTGAACCCTGTGCCTGAGAACTGTGGAGTGCCAGCAGCAATTTGTTTTGCATGACAAACAGAAACAAGTGCAAGATAGTGGAACAAGCCAGGACACTTCCACTGTTTTCAGTGAAATGAGGCTGGCTCAGCAAGTCTGACCTACTTTGTGCTTCAGCTCTGTAGCTGCCCTCCTCAAGCCAGTGCTCAGACAGCTAAAAACAGGTGAAAGAGGACCCAGCTGACTGAGGAAGTAGCCTGGGAACTTGAGTGCAGAAAAAAATACCTGACTTAGCCCTGCTGTTTTACTCTGCTGAACTGGTTTTGTATCTCAGCAGCTAATTATATATAGGTATTGGAACATAATCTTCAGTTGATTATGGAAAAAAATGAGTGGCATTTAGATAGTCTTTAAAGTATCAGTCAGGCCCAGAGAGTGGTGATCAATGGAATGAAGTCTAATTGGAAGCAGGCCAGTAACAAGGGAATTATCCAAGGGGTCACTGGTGGCTCCAGTCCCGTTTAACATCTTCATTAATGATCTGGATAATGGGACAGTGTGCAAAGGCTGATGATGACACAAAACTGGGAGGAGTGGCTGATGCACCAGAGGGCCATGCTACCTTCCAAAGGGACCTAGCAGGCTGGAGAAATAGACTGGCAGGAACCTCATGAACTTAACCAAGGGAAGTGCAAAGTCCTGTTCCTGGGGAAGAACAACCCCGGGTGCCAGGATGGGCTGGGGGCAAGCCAACTGGAAAGACACAAAGTTGGACAAAAGGCTGATGGTATCCTGGGCTGCAATGGGAGCAGTGTTGCCAGGAGGTCTAGGGAGGTGGTGCTGCCCCTCTGCTCAGCACTGGTGGGGCCACACCTGGGGTACTGTGTCCAGGTCTGGGCTCCCCAGAACAAGATAGGCGTGGACATACTGGAATGAATCTGGTGGAGAGCCATGAGGATGATGAAGAAACTGGAGCATATCTCCTATGAGAAGGGGCTAGAGAGCAGGGACTCTTCAGACTGGAGAAGAGAAAGCTCAGAGGGTCTTAATGATGTCTATAAATACCTGAGGGGATGGTGCAAAGCAGACAGAACAAGTGGTGCCCACTAACAGGACCAGTGGCAACAGGCACAACCTGAAACACCAGAGGTTCCCTCTGAACATCAACACTTCTTCACTGTGAGGGTGACCAAGCACTGTCACAGGTTGCCCAGGGATGCTGTGGGATGCTCATCCTTGGAGATATTTAAAAGCTGTATGGACGTGGTCCTGAGCATCTCCAGGTGGCCCTGCAGGAGGTCTAGACCAGGTGACCTCCAGAGGCACCATCCAACCCCAGCCATGCTATGATTTCATAGCTGTGTATATTTAATGGGAAAAATATTTTCTCTTCAAAAACAAATCAAGAGAGAGATTATTCACGGTAAATCAGGATAATATTTTTCTACTTCTTAATCTGTTTTTTTTCCTGTGTAACTGACACTGTTCAGTGCTGTTGTGCAGTGTTTCATAACCACCTGCTGAGCAGGGACCTCTAATGCCACCTTTGCTCCTGGTGAAATGGCATAGGTGAGGGGTGGGCTCCTCTGTCCCTTCTGACTGAAGCCAGTGGGGACAGAGCAAGGGCAGCCCAGATTTCAGTACAGGAAAGGAAGAAAAATACTTCAGCTGGGAGCTTGAGCTATTTCCTTATTTCAGATAATACAGAACAAAATACTGTATCTGTGATGTTTGGCAGTGGGACCTGATTTTCAGTGTACCAGGACTGAGAGGGGAAATGCAAGGTGGAGAGAGTATGGATAGAGGGACGGCAGTGATTTTCATCCAGAGCTGTAAAAACATTTTCACAAAATCACTGCAGACACTTGGCACTGTGCAGCCACTTGGAAAAAGAATTGTTTCTTCCTAACAACTGCAGTGGGGAAGCTTAAAAGTAATGACTGGTTCTTACTTATCTATCCATTGTATTGGGGGGAATCAATCCAATGCCTGATCTCTCTGACAAGCACAGAGTAGTCCTTTTTGAGTTGCTTCATACCAAAATGCTTTTGTAGTTACAGTGAAAAATGGAAAAACATTTCAGTCAGTCAGCTTTTAAAGGGGAAACTGAACACCCCAGAAGTTTTGTTCTGAGCACTGCTCCTTTGGCGGGGAAAAGAGTGATGGGAGAAATGGGAAGATTTTCCTTAGTGGGGATGTCAGTCTGCTTCCCACTCTTGAGATTGGTATCTTGAAGGTATTTCCTGCTGCACGTTCCAGTGCGGATATATGCTGGATCACTTGATGCGCGCTGTGTTTGATGGATTTGCGTGTGTAGCAAGCTCCAAGAGCTGAAAAACTCCTCTGAGATAGTGTACAGCCTGTCCCTTGGGAGTCTGTCAGACAGGATACAAGGAAAAGGGACAGCTGAAAGGGAAAAGAAGTATTCTGAGCAGAGTAAGGAAAGAAATCCAGTTGAAAAAGTATCTCTCCAGTACTATTTCCAGAGCAGAAAATTGCTGTGTTAAGAAAACTGTATATAGCAGTTAGGAATGGGGGAGGTGAGAACTTGTAGAGAAAGAAGAAAACATCTATTTTGAGAAATAGTACTAAAACCCAGTAGCCTTCCATCTTCTTAACTCTGGTTTTAAGTGGATGTTTTCAGATACCATTAATCATTGCAGCTCATTTCAGTCATTTCCATGTAAATACACATTTTCAAACTTAGTAAGTAAATTTCCCCCCTTTCCTGTTTAACAGGGTCCAAAGGAAGCAAGCTCTGTGTCAAGCTGGATGTGAGTGAACACACAGTTGGATCTGCTGTGCACTGTTTAATGGACATGTGACATTTTAACATTGCCTTGTATATTTTGTTGTAAATAACTTAAATTTTAAGTTAAAAAATACCTTTATGCAATAAAGACATTAAAATTTAATACCAATTGTAAGTAAATAAAATGTCTGTACTTTTTATTTAAATTTATTTTAGCTGTTACCAGTAAAAGTCTAATTGATTTCACAAAAATCTCTCAGTGTATGAAATTACAGGATGACATCAAAAAAGACAGCTGGGCAATCAGCCAATGTACATTTTGCTGTAAGAGCAATTACTGGGTGTCTCCCTGAAAGGATACGTAGAAAATTTGTAGAATACTCCCATTATTTTAAAATGTCTTAACAAATCTTTTTTTTTTTTTTTTTACAACAGAAGTATATGATTGAATCTATTGAATACAAATAATTAACCTCAGAACAGTCTTTAGCCATCATCTTATTGTGACCACGGAAAATCACATTCATAATTTAGTCTTTTTAATACGTGATCTTCAAATCTAAAGCGCTCTTAAAACAGTAAAGGATGTGAGAAGTGGTTTTTGACTTTTAACTTTGCCTTTATTTTTCTGCAGTTTCTTATCTGGTTTTGTGGGGTTTTTTTCTGACATCCTCTTTACAGGCTTAGAAAAGAGGATGTTAGCCTGTTCACAGCATTTTATAAAAATTCATTCATATAAAAATGTGTGGAAGATTTTTCTCTGTAAATCTTAATTTGCTGGTCCAGCCTTTATAAAAGATTTTGAAAAAGCCTTTAATGAGTGGATTTTTAACAAGTTTTACTCACAAAACAATACATAAATACATATTAAAGTAATGCCTACTTTAATAGCTTTCCTCAATTTTTTGTTTCAAACACCCATTTTCTCTTTTTTACAAACAAACCAATCTAATGCAGCATGGGTGTTCTTTGGCAGTATAATTTGTCTGTATTACTATTGCAAACCTTTCCCTTCTGTTTGCCAAAGGAAGGTAAAAGTGTTACTTCTCTCCCTTCTGGCTCTGCCAAAGCAGTTATTGCAGCTCTGAAAATTGGTGTGCAGGTACAGCTCTGTCCATCAGTGCCCTCTCTGTTACTGGTTTGATGTTGATATGAGGATGACCATTCTGTTAATTAACAACTTAGGGAGTAGTAGTGACAAATCATCAGTGCCAGGGCATGACTCGTAGTGTGTCAAGGGCAGTCATCGTTTGTCTCCCTGTTCTTACCACCCCTTACCTAATGCAGCAGTGTAGTCCAGAGCCCTTCAGGCTTAAATCCTTGAATGGATATAGAAATTAATGGAGTCTTTAAATTTCAACATACTAAAATGTTTATCTTAATGCACCTTCTTGAAATCTACAGGTGCAGTGAATGAAAGAGCTTCAGTGTTGAAAAAGAGTGTAGTGAGCTTTCCAGGAATACAGATCAGGTTTATTCAAAACACTTGCAATCAGTTTAAAACAGCATTAAACAATCCAAACATGTTGATGTCAAAATTCCCAGTAATCTTAGAAAAATATTTTTTCCCTCATTTATAAGCAATCATTTTCTTGATAGAGCATCAGCAATGTACATTTAGCATTTAATCTGATTTCATACCCATTAGCCTGTCTCTTACAACTGTTTTTTTAAACACAGCCTTCCCATAGAAGAAGTATAATCACAGTTATCATAAAACCAGGTCATGCTGTAAAAAGCCCCATTACCTGACTATTTCCAAAGGATGCCAGAAGTGCTGCCAGGATCAATGCCTATATCTGACATTTTCTTGGAATGTTGCTAATACAGAGTGATGGGCAGCAGTCCTGTGCATTGTTCTTTGGAAGAGGTATAAAATTGACATGTTTATATGAAATACAGTCCCAGATTCTGTTCTCACTCTAGATACAATCCCCCAAACTGGTGAAGAATATTTAAGAGTGAAGAATACTCAATTTATTAAAATGGATCAAAATCAAGTCAAGCTTTCATTGCATCCTTTATTAATGGAAAATATAAGTATGATATTTCTTTTTCAAAAGTAAAACAAAAACTTTAAAATTGCATATCAAATAGACCTCATGATTTTAATGGCTCTGAGTTTAATCCAGCTCTTTCAGGCATTCATGTAGGTATAATAAATGACTGGAAGCAAAGTAGAGATATTAGACTGAATACCTTAACCCTGAGTGGAGATCAAAGAAGGGAATATACATCTATAAAAAATCCATTTCTAGAAGCTTATTAACATCTGGAATCAGGTTCACTGTCTATCACAGGTAAAAAGAATTTGACCATTTATAATACCTCATTTCAGTCTGTCATTGTTTTATGATTGAGCAGTAAGTATTCACTGGACCTTTGCTTTTGAGACCTCAGTTTGAGGTACCTGCTGATTCTGACCAAGAGAAGCCATGGATTCTGTCCCCTTGCCCTGCACACAGTGCTCCAGTGGCACCACAAGGTCAAAGACAATGCCGGGGGCTGCTCACTGCTGACATGCAGCAACCTCACTGCTCATTCATTGTAAGGTGTATCAGAAGAGAACAGCTCTCACAGCTTCATCAGTATCATCTCGCCTCCTGTTTTCCTCCAAACAAAAAATCAAGTGTGCAAGAATGTTACAGTGAACAATACAGAGATCAGGGAAAGACTTGCTTCAATAAGACTTCCAGAAGAAAATTTTATTCGACCTTCAACTGCTGGGTAAACTCTCTTCATTCTCTGGAGGTAGCGGGAAACAACTTCAATGTCAGGTTCACCTAAAGAAACAAACAAAACAGTGTTCTCTCTCTTTGCCAAGCTCTCAACCAAAATGTAAGGACTTGCCTAAATTCAAGTTTTAGTTCAAGAATCAAATTGTTTTCTGTGGCTTACCATTCTGAATTAGCGCACATCACCTCTGGGGGTTTGTAGCCAGAATTTTTGGTAGTAACTTGTATTTTATAAACAAACAAATTATTTTTATTTTGTCTGGCTTGTTTTGTTTTGAATTTGTTACAATGGTATTTTCCAGTCAGGTAGATTGAGATAGTCTCCCACCTGTTTGGGGTATAGGGTTGTAGACCTGGCAGTTATATTGCCTTTATACTTCTTCAAATTTACTTTTTTTAGAAGTTTCTAGTCTGGGCACTGCTTGTGTGCACACAAGGTGTTATGTGGGTTTTCTACAGTGGGAGACCCTTTTCAGTCACTGCAACACACCCCTTCTGATCCAAACTCTTACAGTCCTAAACTATAACCCTCCATCTTAATAATAATTACAGTTTTACCCTTCTGTTGTACTGAAAGACTTTACCAGAGCCTTACAGGTTGTTCCCTTTCGCTATTCCTAATGATTTTTCTCAGTCTCACAGATAGAGCTGATGTTTTAAGTTTCACAGAACTTTATTTAAAACACCAGTCCTAAAGTGAAAATCAAATTTAAACACCTGTATAAACAAAGAATTAGCCTGTAACAGAAGTCCCAAAGGAAAATTTTTGAGGTAAAAGCATGCTTTCACCATGCACAAGCAGAACATACAAAATTAAAGTCCTGCAAAAATGTAGATGGGCTCCTAACAAGACTTTTTTTTTTTTTTTAATATAGCACTACACCCCTTTCACATTTTCAGGAATAATGTATTTTAATCTCAAATTTTTTTCAAGATTCTCTTCATCCTAAAAGATGGACAATGTCTATTATACAAACACAGACTTTCTAACACTTTGCATGTAGCTTTAGAGGATCTTAAGCCAGTGTTATAAAACACCTCTCTTCCACCTCTGTGGTGTGGTGTCTGTGGCACCCTGCCTTCTACCTTCAGAACTCCTGGGGGTCCCTGGTTTTGGCTGGGCAGGGTAATTCCCTTAGAGCAGGTTGGCATCTTTGACCTGTTCACTTGAGCTTCATGTTTAATAGTGGAGGTGAAGATTCTGTCTTTCCAAATACTTCTGAACAGTGCAAATTTAATGTCTGTAGAAAATAGCACCTTTCTTTTTGTTGCATTGTTCAGTAATGAGTACAAGTGCAAGTGTACTTCGCTGCTTTTCTGGTTTACCACAATCTCAGAACTGCTCTCTGAGCACTGATGAAGATAAAGATAACTTGATAAAGATGTTTCTCTTTGAAACTTCTGTGGTTTTAACTGAAAGAGAATGAAGTTGCTGCCTACAACCAAATCTAGCAATCCAGAGCTGTCAGAGTAGAAGCAAATTTAATCATTGAGTAAAGGCAAAAGTCTGAGGTTTGTACTGTAGAAAGATCTTTTAATTTTTGGGAATTGTTTCTCTGCTACCGTGCTAGTGCCCATATTTACCTGGACTGCATACCCCTTACCTTTACTGTATCCCAAATTCTTGTCTTTCAGCATACTGTAGCCATCTCCTCCAAATAACATATAGGAGGGCAGAGTCACGTTGTATATTTCATCCATCTGGAGTGGGACATAGGCTGGGACTCGGCAGGCTGTGCAAAGCACTTCTAAACTAACAACTCTGCTTCCTGGGGCTCTGGAGAGGTCATAGACCACGTGGATGCCTACAAAAATACACATTGGAATGCCACTTAATGCAGTGCATGTCGAACACACAGGGCCAGAAGCAGCATTCTCCCCCATCTTCAGCTGGTTCTTTGCGTTACTTTCTGTGACTGAGAGTTGTATAGTTCTGAATTACACCAGCTAATGCCCTGTGGTTTTTTGCACACTTACTCAACTTCTGTGCAAGAACATTCAAGAGAAATAAGGACTGCTGAAGCACTGTCCTGCCTCATTTACTTATGTGATGTGTGTTCTCATCACTGCTCCACAAAAGGAAATTACTAGTCATGGGATTGGAATACTGCAAGATAAAAATACCTTCCCTTATTTCTGTAGTCACATGGTTTCTCATTTCCCTGGCCTCTTGGCTGAAATGACTCTTTTTAAGGCCAGCCAGCCAGCCTAACTTGGTAGCTATTCTGGATAATAGGCACTGTCCTGAAAAAGGAAAGCCAGACCAGGGCTGTACTCTGCAGTGTCTCCTCACTGTAGGAGAAGCAACATTTCTCATTGTGAGCCTTCCTTGATCAAGGCCAGGGGAGAGCCAGGCCCCAGAACAGCACTGCCAAGAATCTGCAGATGAGGAAGCCACTAAAGGTCGTTCAAAGCACTGAGGCTCTTCCAACCCTGGCGCTCTTCCTGCTCTGGATCTTCCATCCTGAACCCTTTCCAGAGCTACTGGTTTTCTTCTTTTTCTGTGAAGAGGCAGCAAGCAGAGCTTGTTCCTGTTTTACCTTAGAGGTACCTAAGAACATGGGAACATACCAGTGAGAGACACGGGTTGTGTCTGTGGCATGTGAGGGATCACATCATCAGGGTATATGGGATGAGAGGCATGGAGGGAGGGAATGCATCAGCCCCTGCCCTTGAAGTTTAGCTTTCTGCTAACTAAATAGTAAAATCTGCACTAAATCACAGAGAGACCAGGAATAAACATGACTGTAACCTAATACACATCTGGATAAACATATAGGCAGATGCAATTAAAGATATGAGTAGATTTTTGATATTAACTGTTCATCCATAAAATACTTAGAAATTCATTGGAGCAATTCCATAGACCAGTGGGACAAACTCCAAAACTGTCATCAATCATTAGAGAATTGCACAAAATTATTTTGATAAACTGAAATTCAGCACAGCTATCAAGTTTGGTGTTTCAGGTAGGCTGCCAGTTAAGAACTAAAAACTGGAGCTTATTGTAGCTATTTCTGTGTTACAGCTATACTAAATTATATTTTCCTCTGGTTAATTGCAATGTCAAACTGATGCCATTAGGGGTTCAGGGAGCTTGAGAACACTGTCTCTGCTGAAGGGAACAGCGATGGCCTGTGAACTGCAGTGGCTCAATTAAACATACATGGGATAAACAGTGTCTGCTGGCTGGCATGTGCGAGGCACAGGGCGAAGATGTATGGGCAGCTTGACATTCCAGTCTTAAAAAAAGGCTTCTAGATGTAATAAGGCTAACAGGAGGGATGGCTGTTTTGGAAAACTGAGAAGAGGAAAGAAGAAAATATACCTCCAACCTGCAGCAGCTCTCCACTTCCTTTTCCGTATCTCCTCACACTGTGCTCAAAAGCTTCTTTCAGTGTGGAGCCTTTTAATGTCACCATATCAAAACGACCTCCAAATGGCAAAACAGACAGCAAATCTTCCACAGTAATGCTACCTGGGGGCAAGAGACTTTGTTCACTTCTTGGTTTAGGTTTATTGTTGATGGGGGTTTTTTGTTTCTTTTTGTTGTTGTTTATAGAATTATTTTAAGATTGTTTCAAAACAAGTTTTTGAAATGGAACATGGCAAATACATGAAGTACATACTAATACATAGAGTTTAAGAAAATGAGGGCTGGTAGGGGTGAGAATCACATATATTGTCCCCAAGAGCCTGCATCTTTTATCGTCCAGCAGGTATCAAGACCAATGAATCAGAGTTTGATGTAACTGCATGTATTGGTATTAGAACAGAGCTACTAAAAGACATGAAAAACCAGCAACATAAGATGAAGAAACACAGCTATTCATACTGTCAGGCAGTTTTTCCAGTTGATTGAGATTTACTCACATAGTGCTACAGAAAGACTTAATGAAACTGAGAAAGCTGTTTTCAGGTTGCATTTATGTGGTATCAGGAAAATAAAAACTAAAACCTTAGTATCCAGAAAAACCCAGAATTTACTTACTCTACAGCAGACTACAGAAGGCTCACAGCGACCATACCAGAGGACCCTGTACAGCAGGAGACCTTTCTTTGTTCCAAGGCAGCAAGGAGAGAGGGAAATTATAAAAAGCATTGTGTACAAACAATGCTAGAGATTTCTGTCAGTGTCAGCAGTTGTGCTCAAATCATGGACAACCTTTTGAGAAAGTTTGAAATCACTTCTAAATACTATACAAACCCCATCAAAACAAGCCCATACCTAACACTGTGCTCAGGCTGGCATAACTTGATTCCTTCCTTCTGATAAAGTTGTCATTCAGCTGGTAATTTTACGTACCATTAGTGCTTTGCTCATCAATGGGTGACCGTATCCCACCTCCATTCAGGATGCACATTGAAACATGGTTCCATGTCTTTTTATCCGGACTCCCAACATTCTCATAGAGCTACCAAAGGAAAATGTTTAAACATATTTTATCATATATTATTTTTTATTATTTTATCACATATTATAGGCTCTGGAAATTTACACCAAATACAATCTGAGACTGAAAAGCGACAGAAAGGTTTTATGTATTTATTTTTTTAACATAATCTTCAGCCCTATTGTAAAATGCTTAATTATTTAAAAAACCCAAACAAGTATTTTGCTTTTTAAAATTCTTAACATGAAAAATATTTGCCTTTTAAACTAATGAACTCTCAGGCTCTGCTCTAGTCTGTGTGTCTATGGCATGGCCAAGACAGGCCAGCTGAACAAAGGAAAAGTGATTTTTTTATTTCAATGACTGTGATGAAGACAAATTATTTAAGCATATTTGGGGAACTGAGAAGTGAAGAGGACCTTTAATACTGCTGTTCATTAAAATATCTTTGGGAAAGCATAAATTAATTATTTTTCAGGGAATTAAGTATTTTTAGCTTCTCTGTGGATGGTTTTTAATATTTAGAATGGACTTGTGTAACTAGAAAGATGTAGAACAGCAGAAGAACAGGAAACAGGTATACTAGAACAGAAAGTCTTCTCTGCACAGCAATGTGTCCAAGGCTTTGACAACATAAAAGGACAGGATAATATTTGCTTGTGACATCCTTGGTAGTACAGAAAATGGAGGCCAGATATTTACTCAGTTGCACAAGGATGATAAGCCCCCAGTGTTAATCCTCAGAAATAACTGAGTGGAATGGGAAAAGGCTGAAATGACCTAGGATAATAGAAAGAATGGACTAGTTTCTATACAGGAATGACTATGGCCATAACTCTCCAGTCTCACAGAGAGAAGCACATGACAGAAGCCTATAAAATGAAGAAGGGCATGTTGGAGGCTGGGTAGGAATTTGTGTCTTTTCTCATTTCAAGAATGATAAAAAATCTGAAAGATTTGGAGAGGGATGACAAGGATGGTCAAAGACACAGAAAACTTCTGCATGTGGGATGATGATGTAGACTGTCTGACCTGATAAAGAGATAATGGGAGGAAATATTTGAGAATGCTATAAAATCATGAGTGGTGTGATGGTGGATGGGGAGCAAGTGGTCCAGAGCAAGGACCACTTGACCTCCAGCAGTTGTGCAGGCAGTGGGCAGCAGCAGGCTACACACTGACAAGAGCAAGGTCCCTGCAAGATGTGCAGGTCTGTGGTGGAACGCCCTGCCACCAGCTGCTGGGAAGGCTGGAGGCAGGCAAAGGGTGGTGGAGCCACTCTGCAGAAGCTAATCCTGCTGTCTCCCTCCCCTTCTCACTGCTGTTGTTTCTTGCCCTCCCTGCATGTTCCAGTTGAGCCAGTACATGTCCAGAGACCACTTCTGCCTTGGGAATGCCAGAGCTGCAAGCTGGTGGGAGACACCTGCAGATCTGAGCACAGCAACTCCACAGGCTTGTCCAGGACTATGTTCATCCCCTACCATCCCCATTCTGTCATTCTTGGAGATGAAACTTTGGGATGAACGATCCTGTCATCTGTTCCAGGCGGGTCACTTCTCTGCTGCACCCCTCTGTGAAGTGTCTGTGATCTCTGACTTGCAGCTGTGTAAATGCTTTGTGTCTTCAGCTTAGTCATCAAAGTTACGCCCTGAGGCTAGATCCATGCTTAGGTTTGTAACTCATAATCAAAGGATTGCAGCTTCTCAGCCCTGAGCTGAGGCAGCTTAAAGGAGAAGCTCACACAGTGCTGTATCGATTTCACAGTCTTTTCACATCTGAGTCCCTTTAAAGTCCTTTGTAAAATGCCATCTAAGCCTGTCAACCTTTTATTTTGAGATTTTGGGCTACTGGTTAAGAAGCATCACTGAACTAAATGGACCTCTGTTTTGACCCAGCACAAACATTCAATCTTCTGTAACTCTCAATCTCTCCATTTCTCAGGACAACTCTAAATATTAAAGCCTGTGGAACAGGCAGGTCTATTTTTTACCTTTATACCTGACCACATGGCAGCAGACAGGAAAGCAAGTATAGAACTGGCAAGGCAATGTGAAGAGAAATCTGTGTCTCTATTGATGACTGCAGGTGATTGCCTAGAGACATTGAACTAAAATAGAATTTCACCTCCCTAAGAAATAATGTATAGCAACAAAATCTACAGACTTCTGAAAGATTAGAGGGTTACTTTCTTTAAGCTTGAAAAGTGCCAAAGCATTTGTTCACATTTTTGCAAATAAAGATACTAAAAATCTAGCAGAAAAAACCCAAAAAACAAGATGCTGCAGTTCTAGGAGAACTGTATGCAGAATTCCCAAACATTAATCTGATTTGAATATTACCCCATGAACTAGAGAATTATTTTAGGGACTACAATAAGAGCAATAACGACTAGATAAATAGCTTTGGGGACATATCTAAGTGAAAACTCATGATTATTAATTGTCCCTTAACTTTCCCTTTATGGGAAAGGTAATTTTCTGGGAACAGTCACCTTAGTCAATGTTTTTCCCTGAAACACTTAAATGAAACAGTGCTGCTGCAGGGCAGTAAAACAGTCAAACTCAGGAAGTTTAAAAACTGAAAGTGACTTCTTGTAAAAAGACTTTTCTGGAGTTATGTGACTGTTGAAGCCCAGTAGTGCCTGTCAGAACACAGCAGGGGCTGGTGGCTCCTTCTGGGCTGGGGTGTTCTGTGCCCAGCTGGGTATATGGCCTTTCCCACCCCTCCTTGCTTCAGCTCGCACTTTTTATGCTCTTCAGGGGGATGATTCTTGTCAGTAACTTGACAGAAAATTACCCAGATTTGTTTTCTGTGCCAGTGCACTGAAGTGACAGCAAAGCCCAGTGAGTAATGAGAGGACAGAAAGTGAGTGCTGTGAGCAGGGGCCAGTAGCAGGAGAGGGGCAGGGGAGATGAGCTCTCCTCCTTGCTGGGCTCTTAGATGAGACTGCCATGTCCCTTAAAAGTGTAGCCTCCAAGCCATCTGTGAAAAAGCTGTTCTCCCTATGAGGCTATGCACAAAGAATAAACTGCTGCTTACTCTCTACAGAAACATTCCTTATAGCTTCGCTTCTGCCAAGTCTTTCTAGGGACACACTGGATATTGCACTGTTGAAAAGCAGGCACAGAGCCCATGTGCTAATAATTTGGATCTGCACAGCTCTGGAGTAACCCTTAGATGTAATTGCCACCTGTAGTGGTGAAAACATCTTACCACAGCATCACAAAGCAAGTTTCCCATGTTACATTCTTGGAAACGGCATGCTTGGCTTGTACCATTCAAGTAAACACTAGTTTTTCCAATCTCTTTAGAAAAATTCCCCAGGTTTTCTCTCCATTTTTCCACTTCTTCCTTAATGTGCTCATCTGTAAAGTAGTATAAAAGTGTAAAATAAGCATCATATGTATCTCATATTAATGACGCTTCAGTGAATACAGACCTTAGGAAAAGAAAAAGGTGTTCATGATTCTAAAAAGTTACACTTTTCCTAAAAGCTCCTCAAGCAACTTGGCAACTCTATTCATCTCAATAAAAGCCTGTAAGCAGAGAAGGTAGGACAGGACAGTCAAGGGAATAAGCCAGTCCTGTGTCACAGCAAAGTTACCCCCTCTGTACTTTTCCCCAGTCCTGTTCTAACCTCAGACTGATGTGATTTCTAGTACCTTGGCAGGTGAAAGAATTTTTAAAATACAAGTGAGATTGGTCTTTGAAGTAATTTTTTTGTTGTTGTTGTTGTTTGTAATTTCCTCCCTTTAATATTGTGCTAAAAGGAAAAATAGCTCAAATATCAACGTCAAGGAATAAACCCTTTATAGAAATTAATCCTCTATGCACATCTGTCTCTTGAGTGAAAATTTAATAATTTCAGAAAAAAAACAAAGATACTTGTATATACAGACAGATGTTACAACTATTTCATACCAGCTACTAGTTTTAATCTATTTGCTCACACCTGTCACGAAGAAAAACATTTATAAAATTATACCACCAATGTTTATGAATTTTAAGTTTTACTGACTTCAGAGGGAGAATGTAAAGTTTCTTTACATCACCTCGCTACATCAATAGGTCACTGAGAACAACACAGTAAATATCTATGAACAAATGATTTTTAAAGGATTTGTTTTATAAATACTCAGGTAGAACCTAGAAAATCTGATAAATGCTCAGAACTTCATACAGCAAACACTGGAGAAGAAACAGATTAGAAAACCAGCCCTGGATAATTACAGAACTGACAAAAAAAAAAAAAAAAAGTTAAACCAGCTCCAAAAGAAGTACAAACAA